TAATATATAATATTTTATTAATAAATTAATTTATATTAAAATTAATAATATTAATTTTAAAATAATATAATTTAATATATTAATATATAAAAATATTTTAATAATAAATAATAATATAAATAATAATAAAATTATTATAAAAACTTTTATATAATAAATTAATTAAATTAATTTTAAAATATATTATATTTATTTTTTAAAATTTTAATTATTTTAATATTTAATAATAAATTAAAAAATAAAAATAATTTATAATTATTATATAAATATATAATTATAAATTAATATTTATTATTAATAATTATATTTATTTATTTAATTTTTTTAATTATTTATTTAATATAAAAATTTATATATAAAGTTATATAAAATTATATATTTAATTAAAATTCTTTAAATTTTAATACTTTTAATATAAATTCTTTTTAAATTTTTTTAATATTTTTTTTAAAGTTTTTATTTTATTTTTAAATCTTTTAAATTATATATATTTAAGTATTAATTAAATATTTAAATATTAATTAAATATTAAAAAATTAAAAATTTAAAATATTAAAAGGTAAAAAAAAATTAAAAAAATTAAAAAAATATAATTTTATTTTTATTTTTTATTTTAAATTTTAATATTTAATTAATATTTAAATATTAATTAATATTTAAATATATATAATTAAGGTTTAAAAATAAAATAAAAGGATTTTAAAAAATAAATATAAAAGTTTTAAAAGTATTAAAATATATTAAAAATATATTAAAAATATTAATATTTAAAATATTAAATAAAAAATTATATTATAAAGTTTTTAATATTAAAAATTTAAAAATATTATAAATATAAAAAGTTATTTAAAAAAATTAATATTAATAAAATAATTAATAAAAATTAAATAAATAAATATATAATTATTAAATAAATAAATATTAATTTTATAATTATTAATTTTAAAAAAATTTTAAATTAAAAAATAATTTATAATATATTATTTTTAAAATTTTTATAATAATAATAAAATAATTTATAAAAATAAAAATATTTTATTTATATTTTTATTATTAATAATTATTAATTTTAAAAATTAATATTTATTTATTTAATAATTATATTTATTTATTTAATTTTTTTTAATTATTTATTTAATATAAAATATATTATATAAATATATATTTAATTAAAATTTTTAAAATTTTAATATTTTAATAATTTTTTATAATTTTTATTTTTATTTTAATATATTTTAAAATTTTAATTTATATATATTTAAATATTAATTAAATATTTAAATATTAATTAAATATTTAAATATTAATTTAATATTAAAATTAAAATAAAATAAAATAAATATATTTTTAATTTTTTAATACTTTTAATTTTTAATATTTAATTAATATTAAATAAAAATTAATATTTAAAAATATATTAAAAAAATATATTAAAAAATATATTAAAAATATTAAAAATATATTAAAAATATTAAAAAAAAATATATTAAAAAATATATATATTTAAAATATTAAAATTAAAAAAAAATTATATTATAAGTTTTAATATTAATTTAAAAATATTTATAAATATAAAAAATTATTTAAAATTTAATAATAAATAAATAATTAATAAAAATTAAATAAATAAATATTAATTTATTTTTAATAATTTAAAAAATAAAAATAAAAAATTTAAAAATTTTTTATAAAATAATATAAAAATATATATAAAATTATTAAAAATTTATATATAAACTTTAAATTATTAAAAAATTAAATAAAAAAATAATTATATAATATAAATTTTTTAAATATAAAAATAAAAATTTATAATTATAATTTTTAATTATTTTTTATTTAATTATTTTATTATATTATAATTTAATTTTAATTTTAATTTATTTAATTTTTTAAATTTTATAAAAGTTTTATTTTTATAAATATAAATTTTAATTTAAAACTTTAAATATAAATTTAAAATTTTATAAATTTTAATACATTTTAAATTAAATTTATAATTTTTAATTTTTAAAATATATTAATTATTTTAAATAATAATTTTTTTAAAATAAAAATTTATTTTTATATAATTATAAATTTAATTATTAATAATTATTTTTTATTTATAATAAAATTATTAAAATTATAAATTTAAATAATAAATATAATTATTTTATTTAATTATTTTTAATTTAATAATAATAAATTAAATAATTATTTTTAAATAATTTTATTTATAATATAATAAAATTAATAAATAAATATTTATTAAATAAAAGTTAAAACTTTAATTAAAAAAATAATAATTTTATTTTTTATTTATTTTAATTAATTTAAAACTTAAATTATATAATAATATTATATATAATATTTAATAATATTAAAATTAATTTATAATTTATAATAATTTTAATTTTAATAAATTAATTTATTTTAAAATTAATAATATTAATTTAAATAAATTAAATATAATTTATTATATTAATATAAAAATATTTTTAATAATAAATAATATTATAAATATAATAAATATAATTATTATAAAAGTTTTATATAAACTTAATTAAATTAATTTTAAAAAATATAATATATTTTATTTCTTTAAAATTTTAATTATTTATTTAATTTATTAATAAAATTAAAATAATATAAATAATTTATATAATATAAAATATATAATATAATTAAAATTAAAATTTTATTTTTAATTTTATAAATAAAATAATTTAAAAAAATTTTTAATTTTATTATATATATAATATTTAAGTTTATAATATTAAAAATTTATAAATAAATAATTATTATTAATAATTAAATTTATAATTATATAAAAATAAGTTTTATTTTTAAAAAAATTATTAATATTTAAAATAATTAATATATTTTAAAAATTAATTAAAAAATTTTAAATTAAATTTTATAAAAATTAAAACTTTTAAAATTTTATATTTAAATTTTAAATTTTTAAATTTAATTTTAAAAATATTAATTTTTAATTTTTTAAATAAAATTAAATTAAATTATAATATAATAAAATAATTAAATATAAATTAATTATAAAATTATAATTATAAAACTTTTAATTTTATATTTTTAAAAAAATAAAAATATATTTTATTTATTTATTATAATAAATTAAAAATAAATAATTAAATTTTATAAATATAATATAATTTATTTTATTAATTTTAAAATAATATTTATAATTATTAATAAATTTAATATTAAAATTATATAAATTATTTATATTTTAATTTTATTATTAAATAAAAATAATAATTAAAATTTTAAAAAAATAAAATATAATATTTTAAAAATTAATTTAATTAAATTTATTATATAAGTTTTATAATAATTTTATTATTATTTATAATATTATTTATTATTAAAAATATTTTATATTAATATATTAAATTATATTATTTAATTAATATTATTAATTTTAATATAAATTAATTTATTAAAATTAAAATTATTATAAATTATAAACTAATTAATATTAATAAATATTATATATAAATATTAATTTTATTATATAATTTAAATAAATATAAATTAATTAAAATAAATAAAAATAAAATTATTATTTTTAATTAAACTTTTAACTTTTATTTTATAAATAAATATTTATTTATTAACTTTATTATATTATAAATAAAACTATTTAAAATAATTATTTAATTAATTTATTAAATTAAAAAATAATTAAATAAAATAATTATATTTTATTATTATATATATAATATTTATATTTATAATTTAATAATTTATAAAAAATAATTATTAATAATTAAATTTATAATTATATAAAAATAAATTTTATTTTAAAAAAAAATTATTATTATTTAAAATAATTAATATACTTTTAAAAAAATTAAAAAATTATAAATAATTTAAAATATATTAAAATTTATAAAAATTTTAAATTTAAACTTAAAAATATAAAATTTTAATTTATTAAAAATAAAAATATTAAATAAACTTAAAAAATTTATATTAAATTAAATTAAATTATAATATAATAAAATAATTAAATAAAAATTAATTAAAATTTATAATTATAAAATTTTAATTTTATATTTAAAAGAATATTAAAATTATATAATAATTTTAATAATATTTAATATATATATATATATTAATAAAATTATATATAATAAAATATATTTATTTAAATTTTATTTAAATTTATAATTAATTTTCAAGTAATTAAAAAATAAATAAAATAATTTATAATATATTATTTTTAAAATTTTTATAATAAAATATTAAAACTTTTAAAATAAATAATTTATTAAATTTATATTAAATAATATAATAATTATTAATTATTATTTTATTATAATAATAATATAATAATTAATTTATATATAAAAAAATTAATATTTATTTATTTAAATTTATAATTATATATTTAATAATTTTATAATTTATTTAATATTAACTTTTATATATAAAGTTTATATAAAACTATATATTTAATTAAAATTTTTAAATTTTTAATACTTTAAATATAAACTTTTTAAATTTTTTTATTATACCTTTTAATACCCTTTTTAATATACTTTTAATACTTTTTTTAACTCTTTAATAATTTAAACTTTTAATTTTTAATATTTAATTAATACTTAAATATATATAATTTAAATACTTAAAATATATAACAAAAGATTTAAAAATTATATTAAAAAAGTTTATTAAAAGTTATATTAAATAAAGTTTATATTTAAAATATTAAAAATTAAATAAAAAAGTTATATTATAAAATCTCTTAATATTAATTTAAAAAGTATTTATAAATATAAAGGAGTTATTAAAAAAAATAAATATTAAATAAATTTATAGAAATTATTAAATAAATAGATATTAAAGTTAGATAGGTAGATATTAGCTTTATATAAAGGATATAATAAATTAAGTTTTTAGATTAGAATTTACTTAAGGTTTTATTCTACTATAGCTTGTAGTTGCCTTTCCGGAACGAACTATTTAATCTGAACTACATATTCTTCTTGGGCCTTTGAGTCGTCCCGAAGCGCCGAAGTGTGGCTGAATAGACAGGGAAATCTTTTTTTAGATGCAAATGGACTTGAGTGCAATTCATGATGCGACCCGGTCACCTGCAAGGGACAGCTTCTCAGACAGGCAAGAGCGCCCTCGATCAAGTAGAGCAGTATAAGTGACTTCTGATGCAGGGTGAGTTGTCCGAGCCGTCCAACACAAGTCGGTCGATTCCCTGTGCAGTGCGCCAGAAGTTGGTTGTGAGTGACCAACGAAACGTATGCATTTGACGCGAGGCGATGGCAGAGGTGAGGGGTGTCAAGGGAGGATTGTGAAGCAGCCGGTCCTGCAATTCCGATATCATATGTTGTTCCAAGGCCATCGAGGATGCTTAGCACCGTATGAAGGTGCCATGTATGTCCCCGGACGTATGCGGAATATAAGCGAAACCAGTCAGTAAGGCTATATATAGATAGCTAAAGCTTATAAGTTTATAGGGTAGACAGAAGAAAAAGGCATGAGTGTTTACATAGGATAGGAGGAGCCATAGGTTGCGTCCAAAAGAGATTCGTTGCAGGCGGTAATATAATGATTGTATTTAACAGTATGAATCCGCTTATACCTCTCTAGATGAAATATAGGAACCCGCTCGCGACTCAACCCATGGCCTCCTCGGCTGTTTACTCAACCTCCTCCCCTCATAATTTGAAAAGAGGGAGGTTCTGCTCATGTTGCTAGGAGGAAACTCCTGCCAACGGACGGATCTCTTCCTACTCAGCGCGAGAGCTGCGCCGTTTGCACGACTCAGAAGGCCTGCGGCGTTACGACCCGCTCTTGAATCGTCTACAGCGCGGCTACCATTCTGACCAGGCCGCTCGCTAACATCCAGCACACCCCAGTCTTCCGTCTCGGCCCACATTTCCTCCTCAGAGACATCACTATAGCGAAGGGGTACGGTCGCACCGAACCTGAAACTCCGGTTGGCAGGCGCCATCAGTGCTTCGTCGGCCCGCATGCGAGCCATGTGCCACTGGATCCAGTACATCTGCTCGTGCTCACGCAGGTAACGTTCGCCGTGGAACCCCTTGAGCACGACACCGCGCGAGAGCATGCCAAGCTCGCGGCGGAACTCGGCCTTCTCGTACATGCGGCGGGTGAGCCACTCCACGTCCGAGTCCCGAATGACGTCCGGCAAGGTCAAGTTCGGGGGCACGGCCTCTTTGTCGCCAACCTCGCCCGTGAACTTGGACCAAGGGCCCACCATGGATAGCATGGAAATCTGTGCGCGAGCCAGCGCCACGGGGTCGTTGGGTGGGACGACCTCGCCATACCTGCGATCCTGATCATCGGGATCTGTCAAGACCAGTGCCGTCGCGCCGACGGAAGTGGCCACGATAGGGACACCGGCAAGCGCGGCCTCGGCGATGGCAAGAGGCAGGCCCTCGGAGAGTGACGAGTTCATGAACAGCCACGCATCCTTGAGAACCTCTTGTGGCCGGCCGAACCCACCCAGGATGACCTTGTCAGACATCTTGCACTGCTGGATGAGCTTCGTCATGTCGATCGTATAGCTCGGCTCGCGGTCCTGAGCACCGTACACAACGAGCTTGTAGTCCTTGAACCCGAACTTGTTGATGATGACGTCGGCGGCAAGGATGGCCGTCCGCACGTCTTTTATAAACTGGACGTTGGAAAGCATGATGACGGTGGGAATCTCGGTCCGGACATGATCTACTGGCTCAAACGCGTCCATGTTCCCGACACCGTTCACAATGGGGTCGATCTTGCGCCGGAATTGGTTCCTGTGGCTGACTTTGCCCATGTCGGTGCCGAGATCAGCTTCCCAGATGGGGTTGAAGAAAGAAGTACAAGGCAGGATGACATCAGCGTGGAAGTAAGCCAGCTTGGTCGCCAGGCCGATTCCCGCGAGGAGCATAGACTGTACCGGAATCGAGAGTTCGCACTGCGCAGGGGATATGTTGAGGCAGCACTCACGCCAGAGGATGGCATGATCCCAGATTCCAAATGTCGTGCCTCGCTTGTACTTGAGCAGCATCCCAAACAGGCTGCTGATTCCGTGGTGAGTGCTCTGGAATACCTGGGGACAGTTCTCGGGAGACTGAACGCTGAATATGAAGAAATACGACTTGTAAATGGCCAGCGCGTCCCTAAAGTCGGTCATGCTCGGGCGAGACAGCTCGAACCAGTCGGACGGGTCCGTGATGTCGGCGTCACCGTAACTCTCCAGCCACGCATCGGCCCATGCGGCGGCAACTTCTTTGCTGTTCCATGCCTCATTGTAGTCTTTGTGCTCAAAGAACTTGAACATGGTGAGCATGATGTTGCTATAATGAAGAAGCCCGGAGCGGTCTATGTGGCGCGACCTGGCCCCCTTGACAAACTGCTTAAGCAGGGGCACGAAGGTGTTGATAATGTCCCGTTTGATCTCGGTGTTCCCGATTTTGCGGTCAACCTCAGATTGGAGCAGGTTGTCGATGACACCATGGTTTGGCGTCTTGCCGTCCAAGCCCCAGAGAGGCAGGATCTTCAGGGACTGGACGTTCTTCTCGATCTGGAAACGAGGAATACCGTATTCGTTCGCCGACTCGGCAAGGACGTGGTTCCGAATCGTGCTGTGGCCGTTGACAAGATCGCGCCGGCAATTGGAGACGCCGCCAGGCGCTTCGGGCCAGCATCCCACGTCGTTGAAGATGACCGAGATGCGCTCTTGTGTGTCCTTGAAACAGTCCTCTGGGCGGGTCGTCATCTGGTTTGCGTCTTTGCCCAGCCCCATGGCGTAGAGGTCGGAGGCTTTGATAGGCAGCATACAAACTTCTGAGACATCCTTTTCAAGCTCTGTGGCGGCGACTATGCGCTCAATGTTCTCGTCGAGCTCCCTCTTCGCCGCAGTCAGTTGTCCAGACGAGCGGTAGGACCAGTATTTGAGCAGCGTGGGCTCCTCGCGCAAGATCAGCTCGTCCATCCAGCACGCAGTAATCCCGTCAAGCGAGTTGGACTTGAGCCAATTGTTCCAAAGCTCGGTGCGGAGCCACCAAGTCGGCACACGAGAGTAGACTTTCTTCTTGTGCCAGTAGTTCCAAGCGCCGGGGTTGATCATGGTCCTCAAGGATTTGACAGCACGGTTGCTACCGATGTACTTGTAGATGCGGCGCACATCAGACCTGCGGTGCCGGATGAATAGGTCGTCATTCTCGAAGAACACATCGGTTGGGCGGGTCTGCATCATCTGCTCCTCTGGAAACACCTGCGGGGGCTGGCCGACCAGGCAGCGCGCCCCGCCTTCCTCCATGACAGTGACCATGGTCGGGTCACGCCGATGGGCATAGTTGCTCGTAGTGGTGTAAGTTTTGGTGTCGATCTTGCGCACGATGCGGCAGACACGGTCCGAGGGAACCCAGTCGAGTTTTGTCCCGACATCTGCACGGAGGGGTACACCCCAGTAGACCACCAGGCTGTCCCCCTTGTCCGACTTCGCGAGCTTGAATTCAGCACGAAGAATTTCATGGCTGCTTTTTGGACTTGACTTGTATGAGTAGGTGAACTCGTATTCCTTGTCACCAAAGACCATGTCACCGTGCGTGACGCGCCCATACTTGTCGTAATAGCACTTCTTGTAGTTCTGGCCATCGACGACCTCTTTGAAGGCTGGCCACCTCGAGCGCGTGTCCTCGCCGTAATTGTACGTAGAAAAGACCCAAGGACTGGCCTTCTTGTTCTTGCCAGTTGACTTGTCTTGACGATTCGAGAGCCGGAAGGCATCGTCATACACCGCCGTGGACACGGGCTCCACGTCTGTGGGACGGGTTGAGAGCTGCTTGTCGAATATTTCCAGTGTGATGGAATTCTGTTCATTGTGTGCCGCAAAGCCGGTGATGACCTTTCTCAACTGCTCAACAACAATCCTGTCCTTGACCAGTGTCCTGGAGGCGCCCTTCTTCGCGAGGCGGGAGATGCGCACCAAATTCTTGCGGTGATAAATGAGAAGAATGTAGACCCATATGTTCTTGAGGAACCAGCAGAAGCGCCAAAATGTGAGGATCACCCACAGGATCGGGCCACGGGCATACGAGTACCGGAAGTTGTACCACAGCTCCCTCTCCACGTCCGAGCCAGCACCAGTGATGATGCCAACCCACTTGGTAAAGGTGTTTGGGATGGACGAGATGGTCTCGACGAGGCCTAAGAAGAAAGTCTGCTTACGAGGCCCCATGTGAACTGGTGCACAGTGAAGCTCCGACTTCGATAATGGAGCTGTGCCCGTCTCGAGCGAGTAGTCGGCGTTGATGTGCTCACGCTCCAGTGTCTTCTGGTAGATGGTCAGAGCAGTCTCGAGATGGAAGTCCGAGGTCTGCAGGTCGATGGATTGGTTGGCCATGAACTGATGCAGGTCCCTGGATACCGACACCGGGTCACCGAGGATGCGGCAAAAGATGACCTCGCGGACATAGGGCGGTAGATCACGCCACTTGCTATCGACATGGATGCCGAGGCAGAGATGCTTCATGATCTTGAGATTAGTCTTCCGCTGGATCTCGAGAAGGGTGGGCAGGTCGGACGTGGACAGTTCGAAGTCGATGCGTCGAGACAGCTGCTCCGTCTCGTGGAGGAAATGCTCAGCTTGGATGGCACGCTGCCGGTCCATGTGGAAGATGGCACGAGCAGTATGGAAGAGGATGGCCTCGGTGGCAAAATAGGCGAGCAGGGGCTGCCATGTGGGAACATGGATCTCGTCCTCCAAGAGATAGCCTGTCGATATCTCCAGCATATTACCGTCGTACCGGCTGAACGACATGGAGCTGCCGAAGCCCTTCTCGATGAACGAGGTTCGAGTGCTGAGGTTGAGCTCTATCCTGCCAGCCTTCCACATCTCGAGTGCCACCTTCAGGACATCCTCTGACCATGCCGCGTTCTGGGCATGCACGTTGGGCTGCCCAATTGCCAGGCGCAGCAGCTCTGGGACCCTGTCGCATATGAGGTTCGAAGAATTTACCGTGACCTTGTTGCCGGGGAGGTCCTTCCAGACTGCAACCTCGGAAGTCTCCGAGACTGCCATGCTCGGGTTGGATAGCCGGGGCTGCGTCCACCCGGTTGAGTCCCCACCGGGAGCTTGGTTCTTCCGTGCTGGCTTCTGAATATGCAGATCTTTCCACACAAAAAAGGTCGTCAGGACGGCAGCCGTGATGGCGGCGGTGTTCAGGGCGATCACGTCTGTGTAGAAGGGCTGGTATTTGCCGTAGATGCCATGGATGGTGCAGCCGACGATAAAGCCCGCCACGGCGCCGGAGAGAATCGAGCCCACGTGGTATTTGACATCGGTGGTGAAACATCGGTTGAACTGAAAGATCATGACAGAGGTATAAGCAATGACGTAGGCGTAGTACAGAACGATGAGCTGCTGGTCCTGGACAAACAGCCAGACGAAGATGGACGAGAAGCCAAGCCAGAAGACCAGCCTCTGGGACAGCTCCAGCAGAGCACCCACATACTTCCGCCGGCGGCTTCTTTCCCAGTTCTCCAGGACAAGTTTCCCGTGGTCGAAGTCGGTCAGCTTCTCCTCCGAGAGAGCGTAGTTGCCCGACCAGTAGTTCTGCAGCGTGCCATCGAGCGTCATGACAGAGGAGCAAAAGTACAGGATGGCAAAGCAGATGGCATAGCGGGCCGAGTTGTTGGTGATAATTTTGATGGGCGCGTTGCGGGCGCTCATGACGATGCTGACCCACCTGTCCATCAGCGCCACCAAAAAGAGGCCGACGCTGGAGCCAATGTCGAACCGAGCGTACCGGAACAGAATAAAAATATTGTGTTCCTTGAGGCCCTGGGCGAGCTGTTCCTGCGTCTTCAAGGCCTGGTTGACCTGGCCGAACCAACCAGTAGTCAAGGTCTCTGCCCTCGGCCTCGCGGGATCGTCCTTTTTCAGCAGCCAGTCTAGATATGGCATGCCCTGAGCGACACGCACCACCACGGGATCGGCAAGCTTGGTTCGGCCAAAGCCCAGTACACCATCGCTGTATGCCTCAACTTGCTGGCGGAAGGCCAGCAGTGCCAATTTCTTCTTGGCCTCGGGGGACAAGTTCTCCTCTGTCTTTGTTCTTGTCCTCGCCAGGCATTTCCCTGTCTCTGAGGCCATCTCAGATGACTCTTCCTCCGCTCTGGCCTCCATCTTCGCGCTGTACCAGCTGATTATGTCTTTCTCTGTAATTCGAGGAATTTTGGTCATCCAGTTTGACCACTCGTGGCACAGTTGGCGGTATTGGAAGAGAATTAAGACGAGGAAGCCGTAGATCACAGGCAGGTAGACTTCGACATCGTGACCAGGTACAAAGGTTGAGATGAGAGGCGAAAGAAAGAAGACCGGAATCGTACGCCACAGGACGGTGCGGCCCGAAGTGAGAGGGCTGCCATTCTGGTGCATCGTGGCCATGACGCCTGAATGATTTCTCGTCAGTGATCACCGTCCACAAGATCAAGCAGGGGTGGGAATGAGGCATACCCAAGACGTTTAGATACATGGAGATGGCAATGAGATAGAGAATGAAAACAATGCCGGTGCCAACATTGACCTTGACTGTGAAGATGATGAAGCCCACGATCCCAACAAGCACGGTGAGAACGAAGCCACCTGAAAGTCGCTGCACATGAAAGTAAATCATGTTGTCGTACGCGTACTAATTCTTTGTTAGCTATTAAATTCCTTTTCTTGTCCCCTTCGGGAAACAAAGATAAAGCCTTATTTTCATGTTGATATGCTGAGAGACTTACGTTGCAAATATAGTAGTTCCCGATGCTTCCGACCCAGCCAGTGACGCCTGCAGAGATCAGCAGCGACATGAGAAGAGCATAACAGGCGGCTGTGAGGTGGTCATTGTCAAGCCAAGCCGTCATGAACAAGCCGCGGCCGAGAAAGGTCAACAGCAGGATGTCGATGATGGCGGGAAGACAGAATATGGAAAGGGCGCCGAATTCTGCAAACTTCTTGCGAAGCTGGGTGACCGTCTTCACGAAACCCTTGCGTGAGGGGCCGTCTGGGTCCATCTCATCGCTTCCCGCAGAACCAGGATCCGGCTTGGCAAAAGCTGTCATGATCTTCTTGTCCTTGAACCCTTCCGGCGGAGGATGGTCCGCGAGAAACTTGCGATAGCGGTCGTAGATGATCTCACCTAGGTCCCGAGGAGGCATGCCGAAGTAAGACTCGCACTGGGAGCCGAGAGCCCAGAGTTCCGAGAAAACAGCCGCCTGATCCGGCTGGGAGAGGAAGAATGGGCAGCGGTCCGTGGTCTCGATGTAGACGTCTTCAAAGGCGCACTTTCGCAGGGCAGAGAAGAAGATGAGCGCGAAGAGGTCCGCATTGACGTCGACATACTCACAGTCTGCGGTCCATGACCCCCAGGGGTCATATGCTTGCAGGAGGGCATCGCTCAGTACGTTGAGCTTATCACGGTCCCCAGCAAAGAGAGCTTCGACCACGATCCGGTCAACGTAGCGGGAGAGGAGCAGCAGGTTGGCGACTGATGGCAGCCTGTTCGCCCCAAGCCGTACGAAGTCCTGAGATCGGCGGCGGAAGAGCGTCTCCATGTCTGATGATCCGCTCAGAACGCCCTGAGACGCTGCGTGGTTCCATGACTCTGTCGCGGTCTGGTCCAGGAGGACCGAGCGACAATGTTCCTCGATGCCGTACTTGAAGTGATGTGTCATGTCAGATACCTTGATCTGCTCGAGCAGGAACAGCGTCTCGGCTGGGGTGGCGTTTTCGATCTGGTGCCTGATGCTGAGTGGCAGGGCCACCTGCTCGAGCTCGGGGTTAAGCGTGCGCTCGAACTGGAGTTCTTCCTCGTACCGCTCGATGCGGGGGACGTCATGATGTGCCAGCCAGGTATGCAGGACCGTGGCGATGTCGCTCGGGCAGCGCCGTGAGATGAAGAGGTCTATCTCGCCCAGCGTTGAGTCCCGGTGCGAGTGTGCCTTGCCGACCTTGTGCGCGGCGGAAACACCCCAAAACTCGGCAGTATTGTCGGGCATTGTGAATCCGCTGCCGAGGCCCTTATAAATGAAGATTCTCCGCTGCTTGAGCCCATCGACGAGGTGGCCGATGAGGTCTGCGTACTTGGAGGCACCTGAGAACTGCCCGAGTGCCTGGATAAGCTTGGTCAGTTCGGCATCTGTGATGCGCTGCAGCATCTTGAGGTTCCTGAGGTGGATCTGGGTGTCCAGTATGGCCTCGTGCTGGGCGGTGGTGGGCTCGCTCAGCAACGGCACGCAACCGTAGAGCGAGATCTGCTCCCCTTGAGATGTGCGCTCCCAGAAGTCCTCGCGGTAGGGTCCGTCAGGCACGTAGTCTGGAGGCGATACCTTGATGGGCCGCTCCACCCTCAGGGCCTGCAGGTCTTCGGGCAGGGGCAGCGGCCTCAGGAGCTCGTCGATGTTTGGGATGATCTGTTGCAATTCCCCAAACGGCAGACTGGCAACCTTCTCGATCGAGTCCCGGCGCCCGTTGCCAACGTGCGTTATGCGCTTCCGCTGCATCCAGGAATTTTGCAGCTCGGACGTCTCAGTCCGGCGCAGGTACTCGAACGCACTCAAGCTCGCCGGCATCTTCACAGGCGCGCCCGGTGAGCTCGTGGGCGACACCACCGGCCCGTGCTCGAGGACTGCGGCGAAGTGGTCGGCAAGCTTGGCAGACCTGCGCACCACGGCGGCCGATGGACGGGTGTTCCACCGATCAAAGAAGCCAACGAAGAAGCTTGGCCGCTCTATCCGTTGGTCCGCACACTTGGTCATGACATCTCGCAGCGCCAGGGAGCGGAAGTAGTCCCTCCTCTTCCCATCCTCGAGGATGCAAGCGTTCTCGATGATGATGCCTGCCAGGAATTTCAGGTTGACAGCCTTGAGGATTTCGCTGTCATGGTGACACTTGAGCACCACGGGCACCTGCAGCTCGCACAGCCGAATGAGGATGCCAGGCACGAAAGTGACGCTGTCTTCCTTGAGCAGGCCGACATCGATGACGAGGCCAACCACGGCGTTGTCGCTGTACATGTTGAAAAGGTAGTCGACCGTGCCAGCAACTGCGGACTCCGAGATGCTCTCTGAGGACAAGTCTTGTCCATCGACTAACCCGAGCACAGGTGTCGATGCCGGAACGCCGGCGATGGTGCTCGAGGTCTCGGAGAATGAGCCCTGGTCCGTTTCGTCGAGGGCAGCCGCGGCCGCCAGGAACGGCAGAGCGACGACGAGGAGATCGTGTTCAGCACTCGTCTTGCCCAGGTTCGGAATAGGGCTGTCCTTTCCAAAGATGCAGTAGGACTGCACCGCTGACAGATCCAAGCATGGCGATGGCTCCAGCGCCCTGGCTCTTTCCAGCGTTTTTGCCTTGTTTGAACTATCATCTAGTCAGTCTGTGGCCATGATACCTAGGTACACCCGAGTGTTGTGGGTAGTCTTCGCGACGCACCTTTTCCTCGACCTGCTCCACGATCGCAGGGACTTTAACGATCTATCCCCCAGGTACAGGAGGGACGGGATACCAAGGCAAACAATGGCCAGCACGAATGTGAACCATTGTACTGGGGTGACCAGGCGTTCATCGCCCGGGATGATGGAGTTGCAGTAGATCAACCACGGCGTGGTGCTGTTAGTGCTGTTACTGGTGTTGTTACAACTCTCGATTGCCGGGTCTCCTGACAGAGGAGGCTGGAAAAAGGACGCCATGATGTTTTAACGAGTGATTTGGCGGGCCGGCGAGACTGTTCAGAGGCCCTATGTGTAGCCTGGCTATGCGAACACCCGACGACTAAAAGCGTCCAAGGGGCGAGGGCAACGGGGAAAACGAGGGTGACATTAATGATTAACGGAAGCGGCACAAGACTTGTTGTGGGTATCAAAACATGGCTTGGGCGGGATCACTACACAAACTCCGGTGGAATAGGGGCCGGGCTGTGATAGAGCACCTGAGGAGTCGCGATGAGTGTTGCTGTCTCTGCTCCGTCCTGGGATGAGCCTGATGGGATGGGCGAGGGACTAGGTGACGAGAATAACCGAGTCCTGGGCAGTATCGAAACAAGGGGCCGGGGGGCAGACAGAAGAAGTAAGGGCACAGAGGACGGGGAGAGTATAGAGGTGGGATGGTCAGATGTGGTGTCTGCACATGTCCAACAAAAAACGAATAATAATAGTGACAATAAAATGGCCAACGGTTCGGAAGGGCAAGCAAGATACCAGCTTGGGGAACGAGCTGGAGTAGCGAGAGGACAAAGATACGAGAGAGAGAGCAAGCGTGCAGCAAACCCTGGTAGTGAAGGCAGCGTGACAGGCAACACAGATGCTGGACCGGGCCAACAAAGCAATGCTAGCCCATCCCAAAACACGAACGAAATGGTCAATCATCCGAAATAGAACCTGGCCCCGGGCCACACTGCCAGGCTGGTGGTTGGTCGGACATGCTCTGTGAGCAGCAAGTGGGCCGCAGCTCTCGGTCCCCAGCAAGCCAGCCGCCAGCAGCCAGCAGCCCAGCAGCAGCAGCAGCAGCACGAGGAGCCAGGGTCGGCCAAGAGGGGACCATGAGCGAGTATCTTCAGGTGCGCACTTCGCCTTGACGCCGGCTGGACCGACCAGGGTCCGTGATGGCATGGCAAGGGTCCGATGAGCCAGAACCTGGGCATGGGGCAGGGATCCTGGTGCTCCCCGGTACAGGGGGTCGCGATTCGTTGGTAGCATATAATCCGCTACAGTGTGTGTGTGTGTGCGTGCGTGCGTGCGTGCGGGCGTGCATGCACGCATTTGTATGCAATGTATGGATATGGGCTAGCCGGGTGCGTAGCAGTCCAACCCACCCCCCTCTGGCCACACTCTCAAAGAGATTCCAGCTCGGTAGGTGCTCGTACCAAGCCATGGATACTATCGAACGGTGCCGTCTGTGTCACACCACTAGGGCGACGCCGGCTCAGCGCGCTGGTTCAACTACACTATAGGCACCATGATAATCCAACAAAGATGACGGCACGATTTACAGGCATGGCCTCATCAGCACGGCCGGAACTTTGCGGATTCGGGCTGAGAGGCCTTGCCCAACTGACCCGGGACTGGTCCAATCTGGGACGGGATCGGATGGGGACATGCTCCTCAGTGACCCAGTCAGATAGATAAATAGATAGATATATACTCTTGTTTTTGCCAAGCCATCACGGGAAGATAAGAGGAGGAAAAGGAAGAAGTCGATTCAAAAAGTAAAATCAGAAGGGGGAGGAGGGGAAAACAACAACACAGCATTCGCTCACCGCTTCTGGAAGACGACTGAGGCTGTGAGGCTGGGAAAACAAGGGTTGTTCTAATAAAGATGCCGATGCAAAGCATCGCACCTCGGCTGGACTAGTAGGCCACCGAGATCAGATTTTAATTTTTTTTTTTTTTTTTTAAAAAAAAATGGATGGCGTTAGCTTGGCCGCATCCAAGGCTTCCAGCTGTTGAATTTGCGCCCCGATAAAACAATGGCCCCCCTTATGGAGCGTGCGGGCGCCCCCCTCCCCTTGGACCCCGCGGCAGCGCTTTTAATTTATCTCCACATGTAGGCAATGCCGGAATGGCATCAGCAGAGACGCAGAGCTGGAAATTACCCGGATGGCTGATGAAGACGGTACTGTGTAGGTGGTACATAGTACTGCGGTGCATGTGCCCAAGGATCCGCCGAGGGGCCGAAACAGAACAGGCCGGGCCCGCACCGCGGAGCCTGAGAGATTGGATCTGTAAGCAACGCTGATGAGCATTGCGCGGCGTGCTGGTGGGGAGGGAGGGAAGGATGCGCGGCATGGATCGATGCCGTCTTGCAGCATGGTCCCGCTGGGCTCGCTGCACTTCCGAGGGCTGGGATGCCCTACCGCCCGCTGCCGGGCCTCATGGTGAAAGTACTACTATCGTGTTGGCGAGATGATGAAAATCACGAGGGTGACACGGCAATGTGAGTGTTGGGCGCGTGCGTGCAAGGTTCGGGATCAAGTCGAGACAAGAGGGCAGGCGAGAGACATGCAGACGGTCGCCGTGCCGCGCTGACGCTGGCGATTCTGTGGTCAGGGCCGTGGCCCGTGGCCCATTTTTGGGAGCCGGGCTGACAGGCTGGAGCGGGTTTGGTGGTGCTGGTGCTACCCCGGATTTTGCTGGAAATTGCTGGGTGACACGAGAGGACGGACGGCCCCAGGGCCCCAGGTTCGGAGTTGCGAGCTTGGGCGGCAGGGTACTCGGAAGAGGCAGAAGTGGCTGCAGATCGATCATGGTGATCCGATCCCCTTCCACCCACCGCAGATCAACCACGATATCGTCAACGTGGAACAGAGCTGGGCCCACAAGTCACTGCCACCGCATGAACGGGCATACTGCGTCAAAGCAACGGCTCATGTGAATACGGGACATGGACATGTCCTGTGGTAAAAGGGGCACCTGGGGGGGGGGGAGACTGACTGAGGATGGAAAAGGGGACGGGATTGGGGGGGGGGGGTTGGTTATTGGTTGCTGGTTGGCGTTGCGCCCAGAAACACAAAAAAGGAGTGGCGTGTCCCGCCGGCGGGAGCAGGTACAAGGCCGGTACATGTGGCTGCTGTTCGCAGAGGCGTCCGGATCTTTAAGCTTGTTTTAGCGCGTGGTGATATGCTCGAAACGGGGGCAGCCTCGGGTGGATACTTGAATATGCACCTGGGCGGCTGCCCCCTCGGATTGAGCCCCCTCGAATTGAGCCTCACCTGACCGGCGTGATGGTTGCTGTGGGTCAGGTCGGCTCGGGGGATATCTGCAGTAGCGTGAGTGCGTTGCAGGGTCTTTTCGCCACAGGCCTGGCTCGCAATCGCCAGCCTGCCAGCTCGCCTGGCCGATGGGCATTTGCCCGTTCCAGCTGCCCAGGTGCAGCTGCTCGGGTGGGAGCGGTGGGCTTTGGGACGGATTTGTGGGAACAGCCACACCTGGACTCGTAGGCACGCACCGGATGCTCTTGGCAACGGGCACAACTCGTGTTGGTTTTCTATTTTCACGCAGGCTCTTCAGCAGCAGCAGCAGCGTGCCGAGTCAGACGTCGAGATTGGTGATAGTGCTGGCCCGTCAGGCCCGCCAGGCCCGCCAGGCCCGCCAGCTCGCCGGGCGCCACAGCGGCCAGCGGCCTGACTGCACGGGCTGGCTTGTCCCTTCATCTCATTTGAATCCCGCCGTCGCCGCCCACGTGGGTGGTGCTAACAAAATGTGGCGGCGGCGGCGGCGGCGGCGGCGGCGCGAAGACGTGGGTTTCTTGTTCAGCACGGTGTGTGGCCGCCATCAACAGTCGACAACGGCTTGACCACCCTCTTCCAGCACCCTCCTGTGAGTCTCTGACCTGACCTTGCTGGGCGGGCCGTGATAAATTGGACGTGTTGGTGCGTGTGTGTGTCTGTGTGTGTGCGCGTACGTGGAGGGCGAGGAAGGAATTCTAGACCCCAAATTTCAGCAAGTCCCATATTTGGTGGGGTAGAATGGACACCGGGGAGCTCCCACGCTGCCACGGTGGGCCTTGCTCCGTGCGGTGCGACTGTCGACGGACCCGAAACGCCGAGCTGCCGAGCTGCCCAGCTGCCCTGTACTACTACCTAGGTACCTAGGTACCTAGGTAGTTGGGTAGTTGGGTTATGCGGTGTGTTCGGTCAGCTGGCCTGCTGGCCTGCTGGCCTGGCATGCTTCTAACGCGTTCTACCGCACTAGTAGTGGGATATATGCCCATATGCCCCTGGCACCAACCTCATAACGGCATCGCGACCTGCGGGCCTAGCCTGCTGGCCTGCTGGCCTGCTCACTGCCCACTGCCCACTGCCCACGGGCCACTGTCGTCGGTGGCGCCAAGATGCCCCTGGCTAGGAGGGCGGATGCTTGATTTTCGCGACCGACAAAACACCCAAGATCCAAGTTTTGATCCGTCGTGATCCATCATCCCACCTGCTTGTGCTTGGCCTGTCAGAGCTGCTGTGCTAGGGCGACCTCGTAGCGCGCCCGTCTGTCCGTCACACGCAGCAGCCCAGCCCAGCCTGCCAGCCGGAGCCCCCTTCTCGGCTGAGCTCGCAGCGCAGCACAACGCAGCACACAAGCCATGGCCGTCATGGCGAGACCCGACGCTGCTGGTGCAGAGCCCGCAGAGCCCGCAGGGCATGCACTGCTACTACTGCCTGACCGCGTCGGGGGCCGCTCCTACCCACCGGCGGCGGCGGCGGCGGCACCATCAGCATCATCAGCATCATCATAATAGCTTCAGCGTCGTATCCAGATCACGCATTATCCCTCCAATCCCCAGCCTGTCTGCCTGTGCGTTCGACTATCGACTGCTCAGCTGCCCGCAGCCCGGGCAGCCCTGGCACCCTGACACCATGACACCCCTCGCCCCAGGGCCAGCCCCTGCGGGATGGCAGAGTGGCCCATCGACTGGATGCTGTTGTGTTGTTGCGCCATGCCGCCCATGCGGCTCTCACCACCACCCATGCACCTGCTGCAGTAGTCTTGTGTGCACCCAAGTACTCCGTACCCAGGCACCTTACGGCTTGCAGCAAGCACCTCGCCCGCCTGCCAGCTGCCAGCTGCCAGCTTGCTTCTTCTTGCCCTCTTCGTCTGCCAAGCCTCTTTTTTCGATCCCAGCGCACCGGGTTCGGGGCCCAGTGGCTTGCCCTGCGCCCCTCTGCACTTGGCCCTGCTCTGCTGCAAGCCATGTACAAGGACAGCTGGGTAGCTGGGCAGCTGGGCAGCTGGGCAGATGGGCGAATGGACACCACCACCACCTACCACCACTACCACCACTACCACCACTACCACCACCACGCACCCCGGTGGCGTTCGGTGGTTTCCTCAATGGTCTGCGGGACCCGTTGTGGGATGGGATCCCTAGCGTTGAAACATTTCTCTCCTCGCACCCTGCCCCTGGACCTGGTCGCTCGCCCACTCGGCCGCCGCCATTACGAGGTTTTGGAACGAGACTGGGAGACAAGCGCTTGCAACTAAACCCCTGGTGCCCTGTGCCATGTCCTTAGCTTCTTGGCGTTACAACAATTCATCAGCCTGATATTAGCAATACCGCCGTACGGTCTACCAGCAGACTAGCACCAGCCAGCTAATCTCTTCACCGGAAACTCACCCGGCGAAACAAAGCACAGGGCTGCTGGTGCTGGTCGTGTGTGAGAAAGAGAGAGAGAGAGAGAGACTTGTACGGAGGCCCAAAACGGGCCAAGAGAGAGAGAGAGAGAGAGCGAGCAAAAGAGGTCTGTGTGTGTGGCCGCCCCCGACGAGGCAGAGCACCCAATATCGTCCCCCGGCGAGTGGGACCACCTGTATGTACGTAGCAAGTAGTATGGGCCGCCCATAGTACCATGCAGACTCTGGCCAGGTACCTAGGTAGGTAGGTGACAAGGCCATTGTCGTCCACGTCTCTCTGTGGCCCCCGGCGCGAGCAGTTCTGAGTATCGATCGGTCCACCCGACTGTGTGGTGCGGGCTAGGGCTGCTGGGGAGAATCCCTGCCGACCTTTCCTGTTTGTGCTCGTCCTGCCAGCCTGCCTTGCCTGCTCGGGCACGTCCTGTCATTGCTCTGTTTCACCAACACCCGTTTTCCCCTTCCGCCCATGCTGCTATTTACGGCTGCCTACCACCACCACCTGCGGGCTTGCAGGCTGTGGCCCGTGGCCCGCTTCGCTCCGGCGGGCGTCTGGCGTTGGATCCACGGGCAGAGCTGACCGACCTATCGCGGAACCACCACTGCTCTCTCAATATTGGATTCTGTGCTCAGGCTGAAATTGATCTTTACTTTCTCTCCCTGTCCTACCTTAGCCTGTATATCACCACCCGCCAGACCGTCCTCCCAAGAGGCGATGCGTTCCTAGTGCCGCATCACCCGGCCGTCCCCCACCGAGACTATCGTCTCTCCTTCCGCTTACCTGCTCATCATCTTGCATGGCTACGACGTGATCTGGAGTCTAGAACCTCTGTCGTTCGTTACAAAAGAAGCCCTTCGTTTCCAGAAATCCTTCCCGTCCTCCTCCCTGCCCATCTCATCCAAGCCCATCCAAGCCCACCCACCCCCCACCAGCTCATCATAATACCACTCAACACACTCATTCATCCACACAATGGAAGCACAAACATCTCCGGTATCCCTGCGGCTTGCCTCAAGCATGGACAACTGCACATCGTCGCAGGTGTCTTCGGCCGGCTCGCCCTTGTCTGCCGGCTCACCCCTCACCAACTCCCCCCTCAGCACGCCAGACACAACAGACCTCGAGGACGCGCCACCTCTGAACGTCGCGGATAACCATGGGCTGGGGCTGGGGCTTGGGCTCCACTCCGGGACCTCTGACCCAACATTCGTTCTCGTCATCGGCGGTCTTGGCTTCATCGGATCACACACCGTCCTCGAGCTCCTGCGGGCCGGTTTCAATGGTGCGTGGGACACTCTCGGCCTTCTTCTTCTTCCCCTTCCCCTGTAGTTGACTACTGTCGCTGACAATAATACGTAGTGATCGTGGTGGACAACCTGAGCAACAGCTATGAGAGCGTGCTGCACAACATCAAGACCATTGCCGCCAAGGAGTACAAGCAGAGGAACGCACAGATGCCGCTTGTCCACTTCCATCGCGTCGACTACCGCAGCCGCTCAATGCGCTTCCTGCTGGAGAGCTACACAGACCTCGTGCCCGTGCGGGAGGCGTCGGCGGCACCAGAGGCGGCGGAGGAGGCTGACAGGCAGCGCATGACGTACCAGTCGCGCATCACGGGGGTGATCCACTTTGCGGCGTTCAAGTCGGTGTCGGAGTCGATCGACAAGCCGCTGCAGTACTACAACAACAACGTGTGCGGGCTGGTGTCGCTCCTGGAGCTGCTGGACAAGTTCTCGATCCGCAACTTCATCTTCAGCAGCTCGGCGACGGTGTACGGGTCCAAGGCCAACGCGGGGGTGCGGCTGCGGGAGGAGGACCTGGTGCACCTCCCGGAGGCGGCGCAGGACCCCGAGACCAAGGAGAGGGTGGAGCTGACGCCGGCGGTGGCGGGGCTGACGTGCCCGTACGGGCGGACCAAGTACATGGGCGAGGCGATCCTGGCGGACCTGGCCGAGGCGGACGAGCGGTGGCGGATCACGGCGCTGCGCTACTTCAACCCGGTGGGCTGCGACCCGTCGGGGCTGCTGGGCGAGAACCCGCGCAACGTGCCGACCAACCTGTACCCGGTCATCACGCAGGTGCTGACGGGCGACCGGGCCAGGCTGGACGTGTTCGGGTCGGACTGGGACACGCGCGACGGCAGCGCGGTGAGGGACTTTGTGCACGTGCTGGACGTGGCGCGCGGGCACATCGCGGCGCTGCGGCCGGCCAAGCTGACGATGGGGTTCCGGGCGTACAACCTGGGCAGCGGCAACGGCACGACGGTGATGGAGGCGGTGCGGTCGCTGGAGCAGGCGGCGGGCAGGGCGATCCCGGTCAAGATGCAGGGCCGGCGGGCGGGCGACGTCGGCAGCTGCGTGGCCAGCAACGAGCGGGCGTCGCGCGAGCTGGGGTGGCAGCCGCGCGAGAGCATCACCCAGTGCGCCGTCGACCTGTGGAACTTTGTGAGCAGGGTCGTGACCGTCAGGCCGGCTGCATGATCCGTTGTCCGGACCCTGATCTGGACGATCTGATCACCTGCGGGCCAAGCAGTGGGCCGTGGCTGGTCCGGGCCGCCGATCCCCTCTGATCGTGGTGGAGCTGTGACCACACACAAGCAGGCAGCCCAGGATGACGCAGAGCTACGGCATGCTTGGTTGGCTACCCCGCGTTTTAGTCGCGCGGAACCACAGCACTTGCACTTTTTACTCTTTTTTTTTTGTCTTTTTTTTTTTTTTTCATGTCACACGTGCATGAGCCGCCATCTGGAGTTGGTCTCGTTGGAGCTGGATAGACTGCATGCCATGCACTTCGGACGGATGCAAAATGGGCCTGAGCAAAAAGTTTTGGATTTCAATCTTGGGGATTTCAATCTTGGGAAAGCGGGGTCCTCTCTTGTTCTAACCTTCCAATCTTGTTCTTGATTTCCTCGCACAATGTCACGCAGCGTCTTTGTTTTGCTACCAAATCCATAATGTCTAAGTACCCAAGTACCCAAGTACTCATACTCAACCACACAAATAAATCATCAGAGCATTCGTCTGCCACACACAACACGTGTGCCCGGTGCATTCAATACCACTTTCCCGTCCCGGAGGAACGCGTCATCGCTTCGGAACCCGTCTCATCGGTGGATGCTCCCCAACATGTGCCTGCTCTATGCCACCATGGCCACCCAACCACCTCCCATGCCACCTTCCTACCCGGAGACCGCTACCCGGAGACCGAGGTTCAACCGCCTTCTCACCTCACCAGCTCACCTGCCCAACAGGACGACATATCCCTCCGTGTCCCTCACGGCGGGAGGCGGCCCGGCATCAGTACGGTATCCACAAGGCTTTGCTAACGAAGCGTCCGCAATAGGCTGCTTCTGAGATTTTCATCTACCGTCACATTTGCTAACAAAACCAGATCTTGGAAACCACCTCGGCCTGCTCGGCCTAGCCTAAATCATTATCCCTGATCCCAACCCGATTGACCCATCGCCTCTATTAACCCTAGCTAGTAGTAACGCCAGACCCGTGGACCCTGCACATGCATGCCCCATGCAACAATCAACATGTTTTTTGTTATTTGAAAAACAATCCCGCACACAAGTCAACGCAGATCACACACGTTCTTTGGACTTGGGTCCCTCAGCAGGCCTGCAACACACTACCGGTCAGAACAAGAAAGGCGAGTGCCACGGCGTGGTGGAACCATCGATGACGGCGCGAACTTACGTCTTTCGGGGGCTCTGGGCAGCCGCCCTGGGACTCCAGGAAGCAGGCTTGTGCGGCCGAAGCCTTGCACTCACAAATCTGTGTCGCAACCGGTCAGATCGATCACCATTCGCCATGGGTTGTCGGCGTGGCGCGGGGCGCACACTTACACTCTGCTCGTTCATCCGCGGGTCACAGATTGGTGTCGGGCAGACGCACTCCTTCTGGAAGTTGGGGACGCCCTGGCTGGCGTGGTCGGTGACATTGGTGCCATTCTGGTTCACCCGAGGCAGGATGAGGTCGTACTCACCAGCCCGGGCATGGGGGTGGGCAAGTGCCAGGCCCTGGAGGCACGACGAGATGACGACGAGCGAGAAGAGCATGCTTCCTTGTGGTGATCTTTGCGCAAGCCTGGGTGCGAAACCGACATGCGTACTCTTTAGTGCCAAGCGGGCCGGGGGCTCCAAGCTGCTGCAACGTGGTGAACCTTGGAAGGAATGTGTGCGAGAGAGAGATGGTATCTGTAGTGGTCAAACGAGAGTGCAGTCAACTCCAAACGAGCCGATATTCAATACCCAAGAACCAACATGCCAAGTTCAGTCCTGGCCAGGGATTTCGGAGAGGCAAATGAATCCTTTTGTGCACGGCGTGGGAGCGCTCGAGCCCGTGGCTGCAGTGCAGAACACGACGGCGTCCACGAATCTCCCTCGACGCCCGAGCCCGCAAGGCTGCCGGGTGTATCACCAGCTCTGAGCCACCACTGGTCAGGGGCAAGTTGTTCACCACTTCACCACTCAGGGACATCGGTATACGAGCCTGAGCTGAAAAGAGACTCACCGCTCAGAGTGTGCAACACGTCAACAGCAGTCCGACGTGGGCCTAGTCTAGGCCGGAAGGGCTGAGGGGCTGTGGTCTGTGAACCTGTGGTCCGATGCTGACTACCTAGACTACTGAGGCAGCCGCTGCAGGCACTCCAGGCAACTTCATAGGGCTGGACCATCCAGGGTCACTGGGGTAGACGACATGAAGCACCGGCAATCGAGTTTCCGACAATCGACTCACTTAGTTGCAGAAGCTGGACACCAAGGCAGTGTGATCTTAGAAGAGCTGGGAGTCGATCCTTCCTGGGTCCGGCTCGGTCCCCCCCCCCTCCCAAAAGGACGCTATTCCACCGGAGTGGTCTTTAAATCACACTCCCCTGCATCGTAAATCGCCCAAAGAAACGCAAAAGCACCAGTACTGTACTAAGCGTGCCATGTTTTAAACTCAAGCACCGCATGGCGCTACCGGGGCAAGGGCGTGCCAAGTCTAGCAAGCGAACCGAGCAGGTTTTTCCAATGTCCCATGGATTCGTTCTAGAAGGGAGAGGCGGCCAGCAGGCCATGTGGTCGCCCAGCGCTGACATTACAACGTATACAAAGACTCACATAACTAACTAGGTAGGTAAGTGAGCGAGCGTTCATTAGAGGCAGCATGTCTGACAGCATGAGAACCTCGGAGGTTTCGACCTCAGCAGCAGTCTCCAGCCTGCCACATGCAGGCATGGGCCCCAGACATCCCAAGAGAGACCCAGGCAGTCAGGTTGTTGTATGTTTTCCAAGGTTGGTTTCCATGATGTGACACGGGTCCAGGGCCGGGCAACAACTACCGACCCCAGATCAGCCATGTCGTTGTGGTTTTGCAAGTGTCTGGTAGATCGTCCGAAGCCCAGCAGTCACTCCTGGAGAGGCCAGGTTCGGAGGATTGACATGCCCGCAGCGGGGCTGCCGAGCAATAATCCGAGGTTTTGGTCATGCCCTGACCGGCATCTTCCCTCCAGCGCCCGAGTGCCGCGCGCACGGTGCCGTCGCCGTCGGGACGAAACATTGGATAATGCGCTGGCACCCTCCAGGAGTTGGGGTGCTGGGATAGAGTTTGCGTTCCTCGTATCCAGCTGGCTGAAGAGCCGCATGCTGCTACTGCAGCCGCAGTCACTACTGGCATCTCGTGCACATGTGGCCGTGGGTGGTCCCGCAGACGACAGCATCATCTTGACGCGAAGGATCGTAGTGCCCACAGCCAACAGCTGCAACCCACGAAAAAAAAAACCCTGATACCGTGCAGGGCGAGGCAGTGATCACGGTCTCGTGTGTTTGAGAGGTGGCACCACGACCTCCAGGGCTCGGGGGAAGATGGTTGTCGTGGCGCGGTGGGACCTTTGGCCGTCGGCCAGAGGAGCCAACACGAGCCGTCGAACCAACAACGGGCACCTGCATATCATCACGTAACGAGGCGTTGGTGACTCGCATACTTGCATGGCGGATTCAGAGTTCGAATTAAGCTTGTTCGGGCTAGCTGTCGATCCTGCACAGGGGTCCAGGGTGCCCTGTCGCGCCCAGGAACACCCCAGCCATCCGTTTCATAATGGAGTCATGGCTAAGCCAACGAGTTCCACGGGCCGCACCTTACTTGCTGGCTGCTCGTATTCAATCTTTTTTTTCTCTCCACCCCATGTCAATCTCCGTCAGATCCCCCGTCTCCGCCCGGATCTGAGTCTCGATCCAGTGTTCCATTGCTCTGTTCCCTCACTTCCCTGCACGCTGCCCCCCCAGCATTTTGAAAAGGGACCTCTTTTTTCTTTCCCCTTTGCTGCTGGTGTGTATGCATCTATCGCAGCGTGACGAGTTTAGAGCGAGCGGGGCGAGCATCACAACTGTACACCTGGGCGGAGAAAAGTCGTGGACAGTAAAAGGGCTGCCTAGAGGGTTTTTTTTTCACCGCATTTTATTAGCCCGCCCAGGTCTTTAGTCGCTGGCCTGCATGCTGCGCGGTGCTTGCAGAATCCAGCGCCCACTTTCAAACTTCTCCCCTACCCTCTCCCAGCGGCTGACGATCACGCCACCCATTGCCTTCTACCTTGTCGTCTTGTCTTCCCTCGGTCTGTACGTTGCGCCACACTTGGCTCGGGAGTGGAGGGCTTCCGCGCTGGCCTGGGCCCGGTAATTCCGACCCGGAAGCCGTTGGCTTTACGTAAAAGATTGGCCTTGTGCATGCCGTGGCCACCAACGACCGGCCTCGGCCTTCGGTGGGTGGCCCGGCAAGCACGGCGACTGCTGAACCTCGCAGCCTGGCGGCGTCTGACTTCGGCGCTATCAAGCCTGCTTGGATGCTATACGCCTGAACTATCGTCTTGTGTTGACCAGTAGGAGTGAGACAGTACCATAGCCCAAGCCGTATCATGACTGCAGGTTGAGCTGTCGTAGGGTGTCGTCAGCACTACAGTAGACATCTCGTGTGCCAACGCCGTACATCACACCATGGCGTCTTCCCGTCGGGTGAAATCATCGTGCAATTTGAGACGGGACCAGACGAGGGGCCTCGTGGGAGCTGCCCCAACCACCCAGCGTTCGAGAAATCATCACGCAACGCGCGCTCCAGGGCTTCCAAGGTGGTCTTTAGCACTACGGGCTGAGCTATCGTGTGCGTGACGCGAGCGCTGTCCAAACGTCCGCAGCTACCCTGCCCCCATCGCCCTCCCCGACGGCCGCCCTTTCCCAGCACTGAGTTACTCAATTTACGTACCCATATGCGCAGCACGTATCCGAGACCACAACTCGTCTCTGGCCGTCCCCTGGGCGCCACCGTGACCCTGTGCCCGGAAATTCCACATCCTTCGCCCCGGAGGACCTCGACAAGAATAGCTGCCCGCCCGCCCGCCATCCGTGGGGGACTGCTGCGCGAGACGGTCTCGCAGGTCTTGGGCCCGCTCCCACAACCGTGTGCCCAAAGTCAGCCCGCTGCGCGCCGCGACAACTCCTTGACAAATTCAGGCCAGGAGGGGCACCAGTCCTCGTACCCGGGCCTCGTAGTGATGAACTGGCCCGGGCAGCCGAGCTCGAAGCACTTTCTACTGAGCTGCCCGATCTCGACGAAGCCGCCTGCCGCGCTGTGTGCCACGGCAATCGACTTGTTCCTCAGGGGCCGGGGGAGGCGGGCGAAGCCCTGCGTCACGGCCGGGGCGTTCCACTGCCGCGAGGCGTTCTCGAAGGCGACGACGTAGTCCGCTGCTAGGTAGAATATGGGGTCGACCACGACGCCCGGGTTGTAGATGACGATGGCGGTCGAGTTGGACGGGGGCGTTGGCGCTGCCGCCATGGATGGCGCTGCGGCGGGGGCGCGGGGGACCGCGGGGCTGGTGGTCGATGTTGGCAACGCCGAGTCAAGTTCTGCTGCGGCTGGGGCATCATTGGCCTCGCCACCGTCGTCCGCACCATCCCCCGTGTCCTCCTCGGGCGCAGGATTCCGGTTGAGAATGGTCTTGGTGGCAGTCGCCAGCGAGGTCATGTACTGGACAAACACGGTACTGGACGGGACCTCGTCGAAGAAGATGCCGTCCACCACGATGGCCTGGAGGAAGAGATCAGTTCATGTAGAGACGGCGTGAGAGACGGCGTAAGAGACGGCGTAGGCGAGGCTTTTCGTGTCGCTGCTGGCGCCCGCTGAGACAAGCAGCGGAAGACGCGGCCGGGGGCCGGGGCGAACAAACCTTTCCATCCTCCCTGCGCTCCGAGGCGTGCGTCCAGCCGCGGTACGCACTCACCTCGGCCACGAGCTCGTCCAGCAGCCTCTTCCCGTAGCTGCAGTGGACGTAGCCGATGACCTTGACGTTGGGGGCAGCGGTCAGCCTGGCCAAGGCCTCGATGTAGTTGGCATCGGGGAGGACGTCGGCGCCGGGGCCGCTGTTGGGGTTGACCACGACGAGGAAGTCCAGCTCGGGATGGGATTCGGCCGCCACATAAAGGGGGTCCCAGGCCGTCGGGAACGGGTAGATGTACAGCGGGACAAGCACGAAGGGCTTGTTGGTGGCAGCCTTGTGCTTGGGCTTGGGCTTTGCGCCCGGGGCCGCGGTGGCCATGACGAGTCGTGGTTGTTGCGGCGTCGAGAGGGGTGTCTCTTGTTGGGCGGTGGTGAGCGCAGCCAGCAAGCAGTGGGAGGAAGGCGGCTGCGGACGGGCGAGACTGGATGCAGACGAGCTGGCGGCTACGGGTGGCTGCTGCCTCTCTCTGTCCTCGACAGATAAACACGCCTGATGCCCATGACTATCAACTACCTACCTACCTAGGTAGGTAGGTAGGTATCTACCTAGGCATCGCCCCTCCTCCGGGACCCCTCCCATTCCCAAACATCCTCGAGTCCACGGGCGGGCCTCGACTCAATAAAGGAATTAACCGGTCATTCGATCAGCCCAGCCCAGCCAGCCAGCCAGCCATTCCATTCAGCCGCCCATGCCCACCCACCCACCGAGTCACTCAGCCAGTCCATCAATTAAAAAACAATCTACATCTGCCGGACCTGTCAACCAAATGAGATGCCCGATTTCGCCGCTACGGTGGGGGGGGGGGCAAATGCTTGGGGCATGCAGATAGAACGCAAATGTCCTATCGTTCTCAAAACTACCCGGATACCTAGGTACCTAAGGTTTGGGCTAGATCAATCAAGTGCCAAGGTACCTAGCCACCTTGTAGGTAAGAAGGCTGCTAACCACTACCTACTACTAGGCACCTAAGTACCAGCCCACCAGCCCTTGCCCAGGAAGGTACGTGCCTCCAAAAGTAGGGCATGCTGCCAGCCGCCTATGTCCTTTTTTTTGTTCCGTTTCATGTAGCATCTGGCTAGACTGCCGGCAAGGATCGACAAAGCCTTGGCAGGCTCGGGATCGCACTGCTGCAGTATGGGTATTGATGGGCAATTGCGACTTTTATATTTGACCAGAAAAAAATACAGCACACCCACAGATTACAAGACTTAAATTCCTTTGAAGGTGGCCTCAACCCGCAACGCAGACGGGCATCGCCACAGAAAGCCCGTCCCGATGCTGGAAGCCCCAATATCTCATCTCATGCTTCAGATTAGAACACTACTGTTGATACATGGTGGCCGCTTTTTCCTCGCGAATGGGTCGTCTAAACCAGGGACGGGCCCTGTGTCACTATTGTCCATCGGTAATGTAAGTGTCTCCGTTGCAGTACTGGACCCACCCGCTGAGGTTCATGTACTTGAGGACCGTGTTGAAGCCCTCGCCGTTGTTGTTGGTTGCCTTGTCGCAGCTGCTCCTCACGGTGCTGGTGGAGAAGGCCTTGATGTCGGTTTCGTCGTCACCGGCGGGGTACTCGATGTTGAAGACGGGCTTGTCGTTGTCGGGGAAGGCAGAGAAGTCTGCGCACTCGTTGTACTGCACGCACTGCTCATTGACCGAGAAGTGGACCACGTCAATGACGCCATTGATGATGGCAGCGGCGTTCTTGAGGCCCGTGATCATGCCCTTGTCCGCGGCCTCCTTGGCCAGGAAACGCATGAAGTTGATCGAGTCCTCTTCGCTCAGGTCGAGCCCGTTGTCGTTGTCGTAGCCGTCTACATTGTCGGGGTCGATGGCGTTGCAGCCCATGTCGGCGGCAATGGCGATGCGGTCCCTCATGATCTCGCGGACGTTCTGGCTGTCCAGCCTGAGCCAGTACTCGCCGGGCCATCCGTCCAGCTCCTTGCCCCTGTCGTCGTCCTGGAACCTCCACGAGTCGGGGCGGTTCGGCTCGTAGGAGCCGGCGCTGAAGTAGCAGATGACTGTCATGTTGAGCTCCTGCAGGTCGCGGACGACGGTCAGGTTCTGGTGGAGGAACATGTCGATGTCGTAGACGGAGACCTTTGGGTTGCTCGTGTTGGTAGGGGAGACCTGGCCGTTGTCGTCGACGGAGAGTGTCTCGCTGAGCACGATCTGCCACTGGGAGTCCAGGGTCAGGTTGCTCGGGGGTGTGGCGAAGGTTCCGTTGCCCGGGCCGGTCGGCTCGCCGCCGTCCCCGTTGTCATTGTCGTCGTCGTCGTCACCCCCGCGGTTGCGGAGTCCAAGCCCGAGGCCCAGACCAAGTGCCAGTGCCAGTACTACGATGGCAGCGGCAAGGACAAGAGCCCACTTCTTCCAGCCCGAGGAGCGACGGGCGTGGGACCCGTCAACAAGCTGTGGCTTGTCATCGACGGAGTGGGTTGCTCGTTGGGGATCCCCCATGGTAAGGATGCAGGAGTGATGCGATGGAGAGGGCTAGAGCTTCGAAGATGTGGTGGATGTCTGGGGGGAGGGGCGCGCGGTTGCTGGTGGCCAGACAGAGGCGATCCAAATGGCCGTCTGAGGGACAAAGGAGTTCTTGAGGTTGGTGGACAGAGGGGCCAAGCGCGGGAGTGGAGGGTGCCGTTGGACAGACGCTTGTCAGGAGAAGATGCAGAGGAAACAGAGGCGAGGCAGAGCAGCCATCATCATCACCACATGGGGTGCATCGCGAGGAGCCTCGAGCGTAGACGGCATAGCCACAATCGATGGGCGTAGGGGGGGTGCAGGCCATCAGGCCTGGCCAGACCAGACCAGACACGGACGGGCTCACTCATCAGGTGCAGGTGCAGGTGCGGGTGCAGGCGCGCAGGCAGGCGGGCAGGCGGAAATGCGAAGCTGCCGTGCTCACCTACCTTACCTGGGTACCTGGGCAGGCTGGCCGGCTGGCAGTCGAGGCTAAGCTGATTTGTTGGCTAGCGGACATGGGGAGATTGGTTGGGGCTGCCTGAGCCGGTGGCTGAGAAGGCGGGAGGGGAGCGAGCGGTTCGGTCCAGAGCCCAGCTAATAAGCTCGGCTCAGGCCAGGCTCGTCCCATAACAGCATGTCACGGCAATAGACTCTTCTTAGCCACAACTTACCGTGTAGACACACTTTGACCTAAGTAGCAAATGAAATGAGCACAACAAGGCGAATGGATGCCCAGGCACCGACTGCCCAGGTAAAGGGCTTGTCAAGCGAAGCATGGTGACCTGACCGAGATTGCTGACAGAAGAAAAAAGAATATCTACTGTGCTGTGAATAAGGGTCAGAGAGCGTGGGCTGCCCCGAGCGAGTCCGGATACGGAAAGGGGGCCACAGAAGTCAGAACCTTGGGAGTCAAACGGGCTGGAGGGTTGAGGTCGAAATTAGGTGTGGAAGGAGGAATGGAACAGATCAAGGGCCCGTGGTGCAGGGGGTACGGAAGGGGAAAGGTCGGCCATGACAGAGAGACGGGACAACCACGGATCAGGCCTGGGGTCAGGTCAGTGCGAGCTCCGCAGTAGGCAATGGTGTGGGGCCAGGAGCCAGGAGCCTGGATCTCGGAAGATTGACCTCGCGGCCCCACAGCCTATCACGATATGCAACTATGCGGATAGGCAGGTTGTGTCGACCTGCACATGTACCGTCAAGTACCTCCCTCCCCGACCACGGGTCTGCTTGCTCTACCCGCCCGGGGCATGGGTCAGGGGCACCAGCAGCATGGGGTGAGCAGCAATTACCGTCCCGAGCAATCCCTATTTTTTTGATTTGATTTTGTCTGTCCGAGCTCCTGATTACTACCTACCGACCGAGCACAGCTGCATTTTCTCCATCCTGACAATGCAGTCCCGTTTTAGCCTGCATTTGCGTCAAGGGTCCTGCTTACCTGCTTGCCTGCTTACGTACCAGCCTGGTTCATGATTTTCGATTCTCGATTCTCGTCGTCCACCTCTTCCTGCCTGCCTGAAAAAAGGTGAAGACGACAACAAGGATCCCTGCCACCTGGGCTCCCGTATTCAACCGCCAAGCATTCAATCTACGTGTACACTAGGCTCGCATGCCGACACGTCATGCCCACGGCCAACCATTCTCAACCGAGTGACCCTTGCTCGCGACATCCACACAAGACATGCCATCCCATGCCCAATACCCGTCCACAGTGGTCCGACGGCCCAGTGGCGCCAGTCAGTCAGCGCCGAGCGGGCTACTGCGCGTCAAGACGCAGGCGTCTCGCGGCCACACGAGTCACCTGGGGCGATTCCAAAAATACCACCCCGCTAGAACTTGCACTACCATAGTACTATGTAGGAGGCCAAACTAACTCCAGTGGGGCAGAAGCCCTCCAACACGTCAATGACAAGGCGAGGCCATGCCAGACGAGGGCACTCCCAGCTCTCACCACGCTGCCGGGACCTGGACCAGGGCAGTCGGGAGCCGGGACTCCAACCCCAGGGCTCGAGCCGAGGTGGAAGCCGAACAAGCCCAGCCAGGTGGGAGCCGGAAGGGAACTGGTCTGGATGTGGTCTTGTACAGATGTACTCGGTACAGATTACAACACAGCTCGCCATCCACGCCAGCCCCCTCGCGACTCGTCGCGACTAACACGGCGTGTGGATATCTCAGCACATTTCACACAAGGCACGCTCGTCCTCCCAGCCCCACGGTCACGGCCTTGGCCTCGGACTCGGCGTAGCCCCTGCTCATCTGTTTTCGCAGTCTGATTTCCTTTGAGGCTGAGCGGAGCACGGTCGGTGCCAGAGTATGGATGGGCGTCTGCAATGACCCTGGCTTGCTTGCCCCTGGGTTTGATCCGCCACCATCACGACGGATTATCCCAGTGGATCAGCCACACCAAGCAAACCAAGCACACCAAGCTCACCAAGCACTGCAAGCACACCAACAAGCATGGCCGTCACCATCACCGCCATCACCGCCATCACCACTAGCCCAGCGTGCCCGGGCGGACTGCTATAGGGCTGCGAGTATAGGCCACGCCGGCAGCGCCCTCACAACAGACGTCGTCGTGGTTGCCACCCCCGGGCGCCTAGTCCTTGTATCCCATCATTCCCCAGCGACTGGGGTGTGTGCCGGCCTACCCGCTTGGGTCTACCATATGCACCTCGCGCGTGGGTCCTGCTGACCTCTTCTGCCTCGATGCCTCTTACTAACTCCCCCTGCGCCTGGGTTACGAGGTGTTCTTGCCCAGGCTGCCAGGCAGGTCCTGCAAGTGGTGTAGCGTGTGCCACCATCATGGGCCGAGCTCGTACGGCTTCCCGTCTCCCGGCCGTCCATCCCGTTGCCATGCTCACTTGACGCTAGCACATCCTGCCCATCGGGCTCCCATATGGTGGGTGCGCTTGCCCTCTTCCGTACCGAGCTGGCCTGGCCTAGTGTTGCTGTTTTTGGGGTGTCTGACGCTCCCGTCTCCTCGTCACCGGCTCCCCGGGCTGCTGGCACATGTGGTCTGGACAATACCTATGTGCTGTGTGCACGCTACGCGACCTCACCTCGCCTCACCTCACCACACCAACCCTGTGCCTGCCTCACACGCCGCCGCCCCAGCCCAGCCCCAGCCCAGCCCAGCCGTCCGTCTCCTAACCATCTGCGTACGGAGCACTGCAATGTAATTGCAGTACAGCACCCAGTCCCTGTCGCTGTCGCTAGCTGGTCCCGGGTCCTATCCGCCCCACATCCTCCTGCTGCCACAATTTCTCTTTGTTTGTCCCGTCGTTTCGTATTGGGTGCCTTGGACGAACATGCTTAGGCGCCTGCTCTTGGGCCCCCCCTCCCCCTTCCCATCTTCGGATCACAAGCGGCGGGCCACCTCTTCAGCCGCCCCCAGCTAGGTCATCCTGACACCGGCCGACGCATCCAGCGCGCATGCAAGACCAGCAGCGTGCGTCTTTTGACTTCTGTTCAGGCCAGGCAGCCTCTCTGGGTCCATGCTCGGCTAGCTGCCACGAGGCCTTTGCCTGCATTGCTATGTGCTGACCTCGCTGCTGCCAAGGGCCGGGTGGGGCCAGGGGACCATGCCCCATCTACTTTCTTATAACACCCTCCGCCTCGCGGATGGAACCCTGCCTTTTGTTTTTGTTATAATCCTCATCACTCGCTACCTCTCCCAGACCGCTCATCAGTCTTGGGACAACTGCCTTGCACTCGCTTGGGCACACTCTCTTTATCAACCCAACCCACCTTCGTTCTTCACTCGTTGTCGACGTCGTTATTGTATCTCCCCCACCCCCCAAATATACAACATTAATAATATTGTGAATCTGGGCCTCGCTCCAGCCACTTGCCCCCCGACTCCGAGCCAAGCCAGCCTTGCAAGATGAAGCTTTTTTCCAAGGCTTCCGCCTTGGTGGCACTACACGCAAGTGTGGTGTCCGCTGCAAACTCGGTCGCCAATACCATCCTGGTCTTCGCCAGAGATTCTGCCTCGGCCAATGTTGCCACCCTGGGGCTGCAAGCCTACGGCATCCCATACCAGGCCGTTCTTGTGCCTCAGTCTGGTGTCGCCCTGCCTGTTCTCAACTCCTCGGCCACCCAGGGTAACTATGGTGGTATCCTCGTCCTGAGCGAGGTCTCGTACCAGTACTCTACCGGCTTCCTGAGTGCCCTGAGCACTGCTCAATGGCAGACCCTGTACGACTACCAGACTGCCTTCGGGGTCCGCATGGTCCGCCTGGACGTTTATCCCACCCCTGACATGGGTAAGCTTGAATCCAAGATCCCCCGTACAATATAGTCTCTGACAAGGTATCCTCCTGTCCAGGTGTCACCACTTACATTGCCGGTGCTGGCTGCTGTGATGCTGGTGTCGAGCAGCTCGTCAGTTTCAATGACACTTCTGCTTTCCCAACCGCAAATGTAAAGACCGGGGCGACTGTCAGCACGGCTGGCCTCTGGCACTACCCTGCACAGATCACCAACAGCAGCATCGCCACCGCCTTTGCCAAGTTCGCTCCTGGGGGCTCCTTCACTGCCGACTCGACCGCAGCCGTCATCAACAAAATTGGCGGTCGCCAGCAGATGGTCTTCTTCATGAGCTGGGCTACTGACTGGTCCCTGACCTCCAACTACCTGCAGCACTCGTACATCAACTGGATGACCCGCGGCCTCTTCGTGGGCAAGCGCAAGGTCTACCTGAGCACCCAGGTCGACGACATGCACCTCTCGACGGGCCTGTACTACCCCGCCAACACCGAGTTCCGCATCCGCACCCGGGATCTTGACGCGCACAACACCTGGCAGCAGAATATCAACACGCGTTTGGCGCCCGGCTCCAACTACTTTGTTGAGATCGGACACAACGGCAACGGTGACATCGACAACGCTACCAGCCAGTCCAGCGGCGGCAGTCTCTGTACGCCTGCTTACGCTGTTGACTATGACTCCCCGCCTGACACGGCACTTGAGTTCCAGAAGCCGCTGGGCTCCGGTACCGATCTGTGGCCTGCCGAGTTCAAGAACTACACCTGGAGCCTGCCTTGTGCCCAGCTGGACCCCATCGCCTCGTGGTTCCGAGCGAACCCTAACGTCTTCGCCGCAGTATCGCACACCTTCTCTCACGAGGAGCTCAATAACGCCACCTACCACGATGCGAACCGCGAGATCTACTTCAACATCGCGTGGATGGCGCAGATCGGCATCTCGGCTGGCAACAAGTTCTCACCAAAGGGTCTCATCCCTCCGGCCATCACTGGTCTGCACAACGGCGACGCCATCAAGGCATGGATGGACAACGGCATCAGGTTTGTCGTTGGTGACAACACCCGTCCCGTGCTGCGAAACCCGAACCCCTTCTATGCCCTGACAACGACCGTCGCCGGCAACGGCTATGCTGGTCTTACCGTCATCCCCCGCTGGGCCACAACTATCTACTATAACTGCGACACGCAGGCCTGCACCACCAATGAATGGATCGCCACGTCTGGTGGCAAGGGCACCTTTACTGACCTTCTCAACGACGCGAGGACTGTCAACACGCGCTACCTTCTCGGTCTGCACCCGGACCCGTACATGTTCCACCAGGCCAACATGCGCTGGGGAGATACCGACCAGATCACCGTCGGTAACCAATCTGGCAGGCTTTCCCTGATGCAGATCTGGGTCGAGACCATCACCCAGGAGTTGTTGCGCCTGACAAACTGGCCCGTCAGCTCCCTGACACATGATAACATTGGCCAGCTCTTCCTGGACAGGGCCACCCTTGAGTAAGTCTACGCAGGCCCTAAGGTTTCTTGTCTTGACCGTCACCCGTGCTGACCTTGTTTCTTTAGCGCTTGCAACCCCAATCTGAAATACAATTACTCTGACGATGGTAAATCTATCGTCTCGGTCACAGTCACCACCAACGGCAATGCCTGCGCCGTCAAGGTACCTGTTACTGTTCCAGGCACAGCAAGCGGAAGTGGTACTCTTGACAAGGTCGGGAATGAGCCTGCTATTTACTGGACACAAATGTCCAACTCTCCGGTGACATACACTCTGAATACTCCGGTTGCCATCTGATATGGCTGCACTCTGCGCACTGCAGACCAGAAGGAGACAATGGGGGGGAAAAGTGTCTGAATTTAAGCGGAATTTTATGAAGCGCGGTTTACTGGATTCTCGTCTCTCATTCAAGATATTTTACTTTACCAATTTATAAGGGTCTTACAACGGTGGTAGGAGTACAAAATTGGAAAGCTACTTGGGTGATATACCAGTGGCTGCATAGGGTATGGGATATTTGCCGGACGACACAAGTGTTCGACAAAGGCTAGGGCGGTATCATGGGGTATGGCGTCTTAATAGTGGCTAATATTAATGGTATCATTCATTACTCATACCGATTTACTTCAACCCTTTCAAGAAGATATCATGACCCTTGGTATTATAGGTGAGTACCTACCTACCCAGGTAGGTGTTTTTACTAGTCGGCCGCTTCGTTCCGCTATCTGCTAAACATTTCTTAGGCTTAGTCACTCTATTAAAAGTATTATTATATAAGATAATAATTAATTAAAGTAGTTTTTTTAAAATTATATATTATTAATATATATAATATCTTTATACTTATATAAATATTTAAAATTTAAAATTTAAAATTTATAATAATATTATTATTAATAATGAAATAAAAATTATATTAAATTTATTTTAAAATTAAAATAATAAAATAAAATTATTTTATAATTTATTTTAATATTAAAATAATAAAAATTTATAATATTACTTTTAATATTATTATTTATTATTAATATAAGTAATTTAAAATTTAATAATTAATAAAGAGTTTTACTTTTATATAATTATAAATATTTAAAATTTAATATTTTAAAAATATTATATTAATAATAATAAATTAATAAAATTATATATAATTTTACTTTTATTTTATATATATTTAAAAATATATATAATACTTTTATATAATAATAAATATTTAAAATTTAATATTTTAAAAATATAATATTAATATTAATAATTATAATATAATAAATATTTATAACTTTAACTTTATAATATATAAATAAAATTAAAAGTATTATTTTAATAATAATATTAATTAAAATATTATAAAAGAGTTATATAATAAAATTAAATTAAAAATAGTTATTATATAAATAAATTATATTAATAAAAGTTTAATTAAAAATTATTTCTTTAAATATATATATATTACTTTAAAATAATATAATTTAAAGAAATAAAATCTTTATTAAATAAATATTTTAACTTTTATTTAAATATATAATTAACTATAAAAGAATTTTAAATAAAGAAATAATTTATAATATATTACTATTAAAACTTTTATAATAAAATATTAAAACTTTTAAAAGAGTTTTAAAAGTAATTTATAAAAATAATAAAAAGTATAATAAATTTATTCTTCTTTAAGTTTATATTTTTATTTTTAATAATTATTAATTTCTTAATAATATAAAAAATATAATATAAATAAAAGAAAGAAAGAATTTAAGTTTTTTTATAAAAACTATAAGAATATATATAAGTTTTAAATTATTAAAAAAATTAAATTAAAAATAATTATATAATATAAAGAAAAATATAATATAGTTAAAGCTTTAATAAAGTTATAATATAATATATATATATAATTTTACTTCTATTTTATATATATTTAAAAATATATATATTACTTTTATATAATAATAAGTATTTAAAACTTAATATTTAAAAGAATATAATATTAATAATAATAATTATAATATAATAAATATTTATATAGTTTTACTTTTATTTTATATATATTTAGGATATATATAATACTTTTATATAATAATAAATACTTAAAACCTAATATTTAGAAAGAATATAATATTAATAATAATAGTTATAATATAATAAATACTTATAACCTTAACCTTATAATATATAAATAAAGTTAGGAGTACTATTTTAATAATAATATTAATTATAAATAGAAGTAGCCTATAGTTTAATTATTATAAAGGAGTTATATAGTAAGATTAAGTAGTTATTATATAAATATTATAATTATATTAAAAGAAGCCTAACTAAAAATTATTCCTTTAAATATATATATATATATATATATATATATATATACTAATAAAACTTTTATTAAATAAGTATTATAACCTTTATTTAAATATATAACTACTAACTTTAAAAATTTAAGATAAAGAAATAATTTATAATATACTACCCTTAAAACTTTTATAATAAAGTATTAAAACTTTTAAAAAAATTTAAAAATAATTTATAAAAGATAAAGAAAGGGTATAATAAATTTATCCTCTTTTAAATCTATATTTTTATTATTAATAACTATTAACTCTTTAATAGTATAAAAAGTATAATAAAAATAAAAAAGAATAAATTTAAAGTTCCTTTCTAAAAGGATTATAAGGATATATATAAAGTTATTAAAGATTTTATATATAAGCTTTAAACTATTAAAAAGAAATAAATAGTTAAATTAAAAGATAATTATATAATATAAAGAAAAATATAATATAGTTAAAATTATAAATATTTATAACCTTAACTTTATAATATATAAATAAAGTTAAAAATATTATTTTAATAATAATATTAATTAAAATTATAAATAAAAGTAACTTATAGTTTAATTATTATAAAGAAATTATATAGTAAAATTAAAAATAGTTACTATATAAGTAAATTATATTAAAAGAAGTTTAATTGAAAATTATCCTTTTAAATATATATATATATATATATATTAATAAAACCTTTATTAAATAAATATTATAATCTTTACTTAAATATATAATTATTAGTTTTAAAAGAATTTAAAATAAAGAAATAATTTATAATATATTACTTTTAAAACTTTTATAATAAAGTATTAAAACTTTTAAAGAGAGTTTTAAAATAATTTATAAAAATATAAAAAAAGGATATAATAAACTTATTCTTCTTTAAATTTATACTTTTATTATTAATAATTATTAACTCTTTAATAATATAAAAAAGTATAAAAAAATAAAAAAAATAGATTTAAAGTTCCTTTTTAAAAGGATTATAAAGATATATATAAAGTTATTAAAGACTTTATATATAAGCTTTAAACTATTAAGGAAGAAATAAGTAGTTATATAATATAAAGGAAAAATATAGTGTGGCCAAAACTATAATATATATATACTTATAGCCTTAGCCTTATAATATATAGATAATGCTAAGGGGCACCGTCTTAATGATAGTGTTGAATAGAACACTGTGTGCCTAACATATGTTACCTAAAATTCCTATAAAATAAATAATGGGCCTCCGTCTTCATTCGTCCCTAACATTCCACCACATGTGGCACCTACTTGATTGACCGGGGTGCATACACACCTACATGGTGAGAGGCAGGCGACCTCGAAAACAAGCACGTAAACGTTTCACGGCTTCTTGATCCAACTATATCTCCCTCTTTCTCTCCGGGGTAATACTTGCTGTTGTGTTTTCTATGACCACCAATTCATCACTCTGGTGTACATCCAATATAGCAACTTTATGGAATCAGCACCGGAGTGACGTCTGTGCTGATCGCTTCATCGAGCTTTACGGCTCTATATATCGAAAGAGCATTCGAGAGAAGCGCGCAGGCTGTTCTCAGATGCCACCTGCGGCTCCAGTAACAGCACTGCGATAAAATCATATGCGTTAGACGCCATGCCCGCCACGTCACTATTTACTTGGCAGGGACTATTGTTGCTCCACTCACGCTTGTCGATGAGTATTGTCTGGATTATATATGCTTCTAGAACTCTATACCATACGCGTGATATCTGTTGCCTCCGCCTTGCCAACGAGGACTATTTTTGGAGGCACAGGCCCTGTCGATAAGCGCAATCGCTTGACGTATTCCAGCGCTTTAACAGAGATATGCCCCGTTGCCAGAAGTATACCACACTAATCTCTAACCTATAGGAGAACCAGTTTCACCTCCATTCCTTATATATGTGAGGATCCACTGTATGAAGGCGCTATGTATGTCTTCGGACATATACGGAATAGAAGCGGAACCAGACACTAGATAGTCACAAGGCTGAGAAGATAAGTAGATAAAGAGTTGGACAACAACACATGATGTGGCCGAATCCAATGCAACCTGATAGAATCATGATTGAATATGCAAAGGTACAAGGAAGGGAGATCACGTACCGCCTGGCGTGTGAGTAAGACCCACACTCACATTCAAGACCACCAGCAGTGTTTGGATGGCTCGCCCCCCCCCTCCCACCCAGGTGCCTCTTTCCCCCTCGATCCCTTTGCTTCCATATTTCAGAACTCTAAACCCGATACAATCATGGGTTTTCAGACTCATAGGCCAAGGGACTACGTGTGTCCTCAAAGCCCAAGGACTTGCCTCGGGCACGAATCACACCACTGCTCAACGGCTAGTTGTTGCGTGGTGAAGTGCGGTACGAGGCTGAGCCACGTGACCACAGACATACTGTATTCTCTTTCCACTGTTATTAGCACCATATTTTTTAAACGCTAGTATCTTGAGTGTTTACTACTATATGAAGGTGCTATATATATTTTATATGTGTGGGGATTAAAAACGAAAAGACTTGCGTGGTTAACCACATACGGCCGAGTCCCAAATGACTCTATAGAATCATTGATTGCCATAATGCCTGTATGTAAACACCGGCATGATATCGCATCTCTTATGTTGATGGGATGCCACTTTCGCTACCTCGCAGTACCCGACGCAAGGTTACACGAGTTGCATGGCCCGCGAGTGAGTTCACGGTTAAAGCTTGGGTGTAGAGCCGCTTAAAGCGTATTATAGTTATAGTTATACTTGTTTTAATATAGTTTCTACCTAGGTATCTATAGCCTTTAAACTTTATAAGTAAAAACTTAAAGTATATTAAAACTACTTTATATTATATTAACTTATAAGGAAATATAATATAAAATATAATAATTTATTAAAATTTATATAATATAAATTAAATTATATTAAATTATTTAAAATTAATAAATTATTATAATTTTATATTTATATTATTTATATTTAAAAATATATATAAAGTTATTTTTATTTTATATAATATATATAATATATATATTAATATTTTTAATTTTAATTATTTTATTTTTAATTATTTCTTTATTTTAATTTTATTTATATTTATATTATTATTATTATATTCTTTTAATAAATAAAGTTTTAAATTATTTTTAAAATAGTTTTTTATTTTATATTAATTTATTAATTTATTTTAATATTTATAAATAATTTATTAAAATTAAAAATTTATAATTAGAATTTTTAATTAATTTTTATTTAATTAATTTATATTATTATAATTTAATTTAATTTTTAAT